GTGATGCCGCCGTCAGCACCTATAAGTGCTGAGAAGCTAAGGAGCTGCTTTGAGGTGGAACAAATCTCGCCCCGGGGAAGTGACTGGAGCCACTCTGAGCCTCTAAGGGGTCCTGCCTGGATCCTCACACCCACCAGGGACTGTGGCTGCTTAATCCCAGGTGCCGCCTTGCTGGAAACGCTGATCACCGTGGGGCCACATTGCACACGCAGGGGGTGCTCCCTGTCCTGCCTCCCCGCATCCTCTGCAACTGCCCCCCACTTTCCCCTCTCCATCCCGACGGCCCTCCCCACATTCAAACTCACGTCTGATCGCACAGTTTCACCCACTGGGCCCTTGCCGGTCCTCCAACCACTGCATGGACTCGCCTGCGGTGAGTTCTGCACCATGCCATGTGCCAGTCTCATTTTATAAACGTCCCCATTGGCCTTGGCCGCTGACCTGTTTTTTACTATTTACTTATTTATTTGGGCATGCCGGGTCTTAGCTGCAGCACGTGGGATCTAGCTCCCTGACCAGAACCTCCTGCAATGGGAGCGCGGAGTCTGCGCCACTGGACCACCAGGGGTGTCCTGTGATTAAACAGTTGCCGTGCCCCACACACAAAACCTTCCCCCTGACTGTGTTCTGATGGCAGACCTGCACTCTAGAGCACGGGCAGGTATGTGTGCGCTGACCTTGTGCTGACTTCAAACGTACGCCCAGACACAGAGGTGCCGCTGTGATGGGACAGAGGCCTGAGAACTACGCCCTCTAGGCGCCTGCTGCATGCCCGGCGTGCACATGTACCTACGCCCACAAGCAGTCAGACAGGCGAGAGAACAGGAGCTCATTCTCCCCCTGGGGAAACTGAGCCCTGAGAATGTCCATAAAGCAGGTCAGAGGGGTCTCTCCTCATTCCAAACGCCGGTTAAAGCTGAGGTGCTGCCAAGCCTCTTTCCCTGGTAAAGAAATCCTGAAATAAATCTATTTCCCTTTTCACTTGTCCAACAGGAAGCCCAGACAGCCAGATGTGTATGCCAACTTCAATAACTATAGGACCCAAAGCCAATATATCTGTTTTCACTTTCCACCTAGAATTTGTTCCATTTTATATTTTCCTTGGCTCTCATTCTCTTTCTATTGGAGTGTAAGTGTTTTATAATGCTGTGTTAGTTTCTGCTCTTTAAGGAAGTGAGTCAGCTACATGGATACATATATCCCCTTCCCCATGGACCTCCTCCCCACCACCACCACCATCCCAGCCCTCTGGGTCATCACTGAGCTGAGCTCCCTGTGCTATATAGCAGCTTCCATTAGCTATCCATGTTAGACATGGCAATGTCCATATGTCAACCTTAATCTCCCAATTTGTCCCACCCTCCCTTTCCTCCCCGTGTCCACATGTCCGTTTTCTATGTCTGTGTCTCTATTCCTATTTTGCACATAGGTCCATCTGTAGCAGTTTTCTAAGTGTATGATACATACTTTTACATCCTCGTATGTGTTCCTGTGAAAGAATGACCAAAGTTAAGCAACCACCAAAAGCCAGACGTGGAGAGGTAGACACCCATGGGTGTCTCAGGGTCCCACAGCTGGTCCAGGTGTCTGTCTACCCAGGTCCCCTCCATACTGACCCCATCTACTTCCTCCTTTCCTCAACCAAAAAGCTAACAGTGTCTGAGTGTCTGCTTCCTGCCAAGCACAACAGGTCCTGCTATGTCCACATCAACTTCCCAGCAACCCCAGGAGCTAACACTAGTAAAAGCACATCCTCTGTCCCAGGTACTGTTTCTGCACACTTATGAACAGTGTTCCCCATGACAACCCTATTAGGCAGGTATGGTCATTATTCCCATCTTACAGAGGCATGAACTGAGGTACAGGTTGGGTAACTTACTGGAGGTGCACAGCTAGTTAGGTATCACAAAGAGGGCTGGAACTAGGGTTCTGGGCTCTATCGTGCATGCTCCCAGCAGGATGCTGTCAACTGAGTCCCTCATTTTATAGATAAGGACGTGAGGTTTCGAGAGACCAGCGGTTCGCCGAGATTGGGCTCTGACTGTCCAGTCTGGATGACTGCAGGCACAAAGGGAAAAGCCAGGCGTTCCAGGAAACGCCCCTCCCAACTCCCGGCCAAGCCAAGGTCGCGCTTCTAGGAGTCAGGGCACAAGTTCACTCCTGCCAGAGATGCAAAGAGAGACTGCCAGGGAGAAACACGAGGACCGGAAGGCTTTCCTGGTCTTCCAAGGCCACCTCAGGGCTTCCCAGGTGACTGAGTGTTAAAGAATCCATCTGCAATGCAGGAGACTCGGGTCAGATCCCTGGGTTGGGAAGATCCCCTGGAGAAGGGAATGGCAACCCACTGCAGCGTTCTTGCCAGGATAATCCCATGGACAGAATGGCCGGGTGGGATAATTCCATGGACAGAGGATCCCAGTGCACGGGGTTGCAAAGAGTCAGACACGACTGAGTGCACACACACAGGCATGCATGAAGGCCACTTCAGCTGTCTCTCCACCACCGCCCTGGACCCCTCTGTGCTGGGGGCAGGCATCCAGGCCACCCACCCCCACTCAGGGAGCTCAAAAACTCCCTCTTCCCTGCCACACTAGTGACTAAGTGCCCAATTCAGTCAAAGGCAGTGTGGAAATGAGGGGTGTTTTTGTTGTTGTTGTTTATTTTTTTGGTATTTTTAACTTAATTTTTTTAGAATTTTTTTTTTGATGTAGACAACTTTTAAAGTCTGTACTGAATCTGTTACAATGTTGCTTATGTTTTATGTTTTGGATTCTTTTTGCCAGGGGGTGGGGGGTGCTGTGAGCCATGCGGGATCTTAGCTCTCTAACCAGGGGCGGAACCTGCACCCCCTGCACTGGAAGGCGACAAAGTCTTCACCAGTGGACCACCACAGAAGTCCCTGGAAATGAGTTTTGAAGCATGCAGAACCAGGTTCAAATCCCAGCTTTGCCACTCACTAGCTGTGAGCCCCGGATGAGGGTGAGCCTCTCCATATACTAGGTGTTAAAATCACCACCTCACTGCATGTCTGGGGAGACTGGCAGAGCCCACTGCACCCGTACCCTCTCTCCCCGAGCAGATCTGCCACCAAGTGGTGGCTGCCTTGCCTCCATTCTCGTCCTGGCAAACCCTTCCAAGGCCTCCATCAGCAGATGCCAGAGGGATGGGGAGGCCAGGGAGGTTTGCTCCAACTTATCTCATTCAAGACATGCCTTCTGGAAGAAGATGGAAAAATAAAACTAAGTAATAAAATTTGAGTTTGAACAGAAAACCCAAATCAGGACTGATCTTTCCAGAACTTCTCTGTCCTACCTCAGGAAGGGAGAGGGGTCAAGGAAGTCCGTGGGGGTCACCCCACCTCTGGTGGGCCTCAGTGACAGGCCTTCCTCCTGGCCATCCGCAGCGGGATGGGCTGCTGGCCCACGTGACACGTCCCAGTTGCCATGGTTTCTGTTTATTCTGGGAAAGACAGCTTCCCTGACATCCAGGCTTGGTAAAGCCGAGTGTTTGCGACACCCTGACCGTGTAATCACCGAGGTCCCTTGCTCTGTCCTCAGCCGCACACAGGCTAGAGCCTGCAAGCACAGAAGCAAAGGCGCTGATGGTAACTCAGCCCCCCCAGGTCCCCCCTCCAACCCAGTCCAGGGTGGATGGAACCAAACCCCATTTTCAGATGAGAAAACCAAGGCTTGGGCTTGGGCCATGACTTGCCCAGGGTCAGTGAGAGGCAGGGATTCAAACTTGTCTGTCCCATTTTTTCTAACTGTGTGCTGGTTCATTTATGATCATTACTCTGACTCCCAGGAAACTCAGGCCTTTTCCCAAAACTGCACCTCCTGATACGCCTTGAGAGGACCCTATCCAATGCTCAGAGACATCAAAGGCAGCTCACAGGAGTGAGCAGGGAGTTCCCCAGAGGGACCTAACACTCAGGTCCCCACCCCAGACCTGACCACACCATTCTCAGTTCATGGTTCAAAGACCGCTGGCCCACAGAACTAAATCTAAGCCTCCGACTTAACCAGCACCCCACACATCCTCAGTTCGATGCCTATGACCCCTTCCTTGCTGTTTCTTTGCCCTTTCCAATGCTCAGATCCTTCCTCATCCATTGGGATTTCCTGGATGCCCACGGGAGCATCAATCACCCCCTCCTCCCAAAGACCACCGAGTCCAGCTGCCCCTGCGAGTGGGCCACCCATGGAAAGGTCTAGCCCCACTCCCGTGTGACATGGGACAGCCATGAAGCAAAAGTTCCATTCTCAGCCCAAGCCGCTGGCACTGAGAGGGAACTGGCACTTCACTGGGAGCTCAGACGGGCCAGCTTCTTCCCTCCACAGGGCCTTTGCACGTGCCATCCTATGTGGAACGCTTCCCCTTTGTCCCTACCACCTAGCAACTCCTAGTTTTCCTTCAAGTCTCGGTTTAAGGGTCATAGAAGTCCTCCCTGACCCTCCCCGTTACCCAGCCAGGCAGCACTCGGGCAGCCCTCCTAATCACACTTGTCATGGTCACATTGTGTTTCATCATGTGATTATTTATTAACTAGACTAAAAGCCACGTAAGTGCAGCACTAGGTCTGTCTTGTGCCGGGGTCCCTGGCACAGTGCCTGGCACACTGCAGGGACTTGATCAGTGTTTGCTGTTCTGAAAGAGTGTGGGCAGCTGCGGTGGATTAAAATGATACCACAGGGTCTCAGGCTTCACAGGCACCCTCTGCACTGTAAAGTTATACCTCCTCCCATCGAGCACCCGAGTCTGTCTGTGCATGCCTTGAAGGCAGACTTAACCACGTGACTTCATTTGGCCAATGAGACGGCAGCAAATGTGCCGCAAGCAAAGGCCTGAAAAGCACTTCTGCCCCGGGATGGGCTCACTCGCTGCACTCACAACCCGGGAGCAGCAGATGAGCACACCAGTGAGCTTGCTGGAGGAGGAGAGACTCTGGGAAGAGCTGACCCAACAATCAGCCCCCTACCTGTCATCTGCCAGACACATACCTCAGTGAGGCCATCCTCAACCAGCCAGCTGCCAACAGACCAGCCAACTGACCACAGATGCAGGACAGAGCCTTGAAGAGGCCATCCTGGCTCAGAAAGCCCTCCAGCCAACCCACAGATTGTGACCAAATAAAACGGTGGTTGTTTCATAGCACTAAGTTGGGGTGACTTGTTACGCAGCAAGAGGTAGCTGATACAGGAGCTAAGATATGCTCACAGCCAAACAGCACAGATCTGATCAATACATCAAGCTGAAACATCAAGCTGAAAACAACAAAAACTTCTTGGGAGGTGGAAAGCAGCTAGGGGGTGAAGGTCAAGTCTCTGGGTTTGAGCCCTGCTGGTCTGTGACTTTGTCTTGAGCCTAGACAAGGTGGGCACTGCTTCTGTGCCTAAGTTTTCCCATGTCTGCAGTGAGAATGACACATCCCAAGCCAAGTTTGCCCAGGAGGGGTGGTCTGAGTCTAAACAGGGAGCGGATGTGAAAAAGCTGCCCAGAGGAAGCTAAAGACTCTTTGGAAGACATGTGCTGTAGAAGAAAGATCACATCTTCAGAGCAGACAGATTCCAGATCCTGATTCTCTCTGCTGCTGTCAGGCTGACGGACCTTGGGCAAGTTTCTCAGCCTCTCTGAGCTTCAGGTGTCACCTGACACATGCCACCTGACCTGGTAACAATACATAATATGCAGGGCTATGGTGAGGGTTAACTAAGACAGTATACAAAAGACATGGAACACAGTGCCTGGCACAGGAATTGTGTAAATAGTAGCTCCTTCTCTGTCCCCATCTCTACTGCACTGGCACCTCTTTCTGCCACCCTTCCCCATCACTCCGTGTGGAGTAAGAGTTCCCATGTTTCAGATCAATATCTTGTGGCAGGTGACAAGTTGGGACTATAACTTACATAACATTGAGAGAAAGAGAAAGGCTTGCTTGGAGGATGAGATGGGAAGAGCTGCATGTTGGCAGCTCTGACAAGGGGAGAAAACGCAGGCTGTGGTGAACAGCATAAAGAAAAGTGGAGATGGTTCAGAACTGAGCCTCTGCCCTGAAGGCAGACACACCCCAAGCCCACATCTGTCTTCATCTGGGATGATTATCTGTGGTCCTTGCTCCATTCACCACCAAGGCACCAGCTCTGAGGCCCCTGGATGGGTCCTAGGCTGCTGTCAGCAACTTGGGCTTCCCAAGTGTCTTAGTGGTAAAAAAGAAAAGCGCCCTCGTACCAGTGAAGGAGATGCAGGAGATATGGGTTTGATCCCTGGGTCGGAAAGTTCCCCTGGAGGAGAGCACGGCAACCCACTCCAGTATTCCTGCCTGGAGAATCCCATGGACAGAGGAGTCTGGTGGGCTACAGTCTATGGGCTTGCAAAGAGCTGGACACTAGTGAGCATGAGCACGTTGGCATCTTAGCCTGGCCTCTGTCCCACAAAGCACCTACCACAAAAGCAGAGGCCCCTCTGCCCCAAGGACCCGGAATGTCAGCAGGTGGTCAACAGGAAGGCTCCAGGGTGGATTCAGCAACTGCCCACCCCCTGCCCCAGCACACACTGATGAAGCTGAATGCAGGGAGGGCTGACATGTGGGGGGGAGCTGGCCCCACACTGGGTGACTCCCTCTGTGAGCATCTACACCTCACCATGGCCTTCCATGGCCCCCACTACAGGATCCAAACCTTGGGGGCTGGCACTCCAGGCCCTTCCCAAGCCCCAAACCCATATACTTTGGCCACCTGATGTGAAGAACTGACTCACTGGAAAAGACCCTGATGCTGGAAAAGATTGAAGGCGGGAGGAGAAGGGGACAACAGAGGATGAGATGGTTGGATGGCATCACCGACTCAATAGACATGAGCTTGAGCAAGCTCCTGGAGTTGGTGATGGACAGGGAAGCCTGGCGTGCTGCAGTCCATGGGGTCGCAAAGAGTAGGACACGACTGAGCGACTGAGCTGAAACTGAAACCAATCCACCCAACTCTAGCCCAGGCCCCATCACAACCTGAGTATAGGGACCAAGGACCAATCACAACCAAAACCTTGTGAGGCTACAGCACAAAAAAGCAGAAGTGGCTTACCCAAGGTCACACGGCGAGTTAAACAAGAGCCAAGAGCCCTGGCCCCATCCACATTCCTGAAGGTCACTGTCAGGCAAGGATACAGTGTGGGTGCTGATGGGGTCTCCCCTCCCACCCCAATCTTCCTTTCCAGGCTGTGCACCCATTCCTCAGCAACAGTGCAGGCTGTTCTCTGCAGAACTGCTCTTGGCTGAAAGGAGACAAGCCTAGGGGGCATGACCCAGCTCCCCCACCCCTCCTGAGGAAGCCCATGGCCATGACCACCGGACACGGAGGTACAGAGACCGCCCTCCATGTCAAGATGGGACCAGTTCTATAGCATCATTCATGCTTCAGGGATCCCTGTAGGATGAAGCAAATCTCCAGGGAGACCACCTCCTTGCTCACCTTCTCCCTGCCCTACTTCCCCGACTCCCCTTCTCACGAAAGCACTCCCCACTGAATCTCTTTCACAAGAAGCAGCTCTGCTGCTAGGGAGCTCAGCCTGACACAAAGTCCTCGGTCCTCTAATTGTGGTCCACTCACCAGCAGCAGCACAACATCACTTGGGCCTCAAGAGAAATGCACGCTCTCCGACCCACCCAGATTTAGTAAAATCAGAAACTGCCTTTTTATAGAAACCAACTTGCATGTGATTCCCATGCAAGTTATAATTTGAGATGCTCTGGCTTAACAGAGATAGTCATCCCATTGTGGGGATCATCCAACCCATCTGCCCATATGTTGTGGCAATCGTATTGCTAACCAGCTGTGTCATCTCCATGCTCCACGCTCTGGTTGGATGTAAGCTCCAACATAACCGAGGTAGAATCGCCACGTGCTTCTGATTTGAGCTCCAGTCTCACGCACTTTACACGGTCACCAGAATCCTGCTTTTCTTTTATGCCCCCAGAAACCAGTCCCAGTGCTTGCTTAGTCAATTAGAGAGCTTGCCTCCACTACCTTCCTTTATCAAAACTTTATTTAGTTATTTATTTATAAATAAACAGGCTGTAGGGGTCTTTGCTGCTGCTCGGGTTTTTCTCTAGTAGCAATGAGTGGGGTTACTCTCTAGCTGTGCTCACACTTCTCACTGCGGTCGCTTCTCTTTATGCAGAGCACGGGCTCTAGGCGCACCAACTCAGTAGTTGTGGCACACAGGCTTAATCGCCCCATGGCATGTGGAATCTCCCAGACCAGGGATTGAACCCATGTCCCCTGCATTGGCAGGTGGATTCTTAACCACTGGATCACCAGGGAAGTCCCCTACTGGCTTCTTGAAGGGACCCCAACCCAACACCAGACAGCTAGGAAATTTTCCTCAAGGGCACTTTTGGGGGAAGATGGTGCAAAGAGGTCCAGATTCCCCAGGGCCCAGGAGGGTGAAGGGAGGCGGAGCAAGGCCACTGATGTTACTGCCTTGGAAGAAGAACATTCCTGACCAGTCATGAGTCAGAAACCCCTCTTCAGAGGCCCCACTGCAGCCCACCCCAGGGAATGAGCCCCACAGAGCCCCTCCAAGGGGAGGCCTATGACCTTTGCAAAAGGAAAGGCAATAACCAAGTCCTACGTGCCTAGGAGACCCCAGGGCCATTTCCAGAGTCTGCTATAATCCTGCCGGGTGTTTGGACAGGAGCAACGGTGCAAAGCTTGTCATCTCTGTCTGTTGCCTGAGGAGGAAAGCGGTTCACCTTTTGCTAATCGCTCTAATTCATTTTTTATTACTAACTTTCCTGTTTTCTATTTGCCATCTGATTGAAGGTATTACCGAAGGCATTTAAACAGCATCAGACCGTACCACAATGGCAAACATAACTCTTCTGATTGAAATCTGCATTAATATACATATAATTCCCTGATCACAAAGACCTCACCATCCACATGTTAGACCCCAAGTGAACGCGGATTTGGCAAGAGACATATACACAATTGAAGGTTTTTCAAAAGACCATCAGCCATGCCAGGAGGCTGCCTTAAGATGAGTGCTTTCTTGGGCTGTTGGTGGACATGGCTGACCCTTTGGCACCACGTCCTGAATCCAGAGACGTAAAAACATTCACTCCTTTGAGCCAAGAGTTCTACTTTGGCCGTGGCCAACAGCCTAGGTCTGAACCTTGACACCCCATCTCGAGCACACCCCAGAGCCAATCCACTCCCAAATCACACATATTCTACCTCCTAACATCTCCCATGTCCTTCTACTTCTCTCCACTTTCACCCCAGCAGTACAGTCCAAACCAGAGTGGGCCAACAGAACTTTATGCAATGACAGGAATGTTCTATATCTGCACTGTCCATGGGGGATATAGAGAACTTGAAATATGGCTTGCATGACAAAGGAACTACATTTTATTTGATATTACTTTAAATCTCAATAGTCACGTGTAACTAGTGGCTACCATATTGGAGTGTGCAGCCCTAAGCTATCATCAATCCTCTTCTAAACCACAGTAATCACCTCCCCACTGTCTCCTTGCATCCATTCTTTGTCCCATCCACTGCTTTCCCCAGAAGACAGCTACAAAGATAAATTCAACACACCTCAACTCTCACTACCATTGAGACGAAGTCCAAACTCCTGGACATGGCCTTCAGGGCCCCATCTCCTGGAGCAGAAACTACCCCAGTTCTCGGGGAGGCTATGGTGTGCCAGGTACTGGAGGGGGGCAAGCAGCGAAGGTCTCCTGGAAGAGGTGTCACTTGAGCAGGAACTTAAAAGACATGTCCATAGGAGTCTGCCAAGCAGGATGCCCAAGCCAGAGGCACCTCAGCGAGAGCTGCTTTCGTAGCTACGTCCATGAGCCACGGGCAGAGAGCCAGCCCTTGTGAAGCTGATAGTCTAGTGGGACAAAAACAACACACAGAATGAATCAGCAAATGACACGTGAGAAGAGAAAAGAAAAAGATGGGTAAGGGGTTTCTTGTGGACTGGGTGGGAGGGAGAAATCAGCAGGATTAAATTGTAAGGAAGTAAAGGGACCAAATGCACATGCTCTTGAGTCTGTGTGGCTGGACAGTAGTGGGTGGTTTCTCCCCCAATCCTTAGACATCTTGGCAGGGAACACAGTCTTCACAATTGATAGTTTGAGAAGAAGAAGCAGGTGATTTTGTGTGACCACACTGATTTTTTTATATAAGTGTATTTTTTATCTATTTATTTATTTCTATTTATTTGGCTGCCTCAGGTCTTAGTTGTGACAAAACAGGCGGCTAAGATCCACCAGCCTGTCCCCCATCTTGCCAAGCACTGATGAAAAATCCTAAGGGTTTCAACCACCAACCCTCTTGACTCCCATTCCAACCTTCTTCCCTAGGCTCGGCATGTCTTTATGATGTGAACTCACGTAGGATCTTTCGTGTGGGGCACAGGTTCTCTGGCTGCAACATGCTGCCTTACTTCCTACATGGCATGTGGGATCTTAGTTCTCTGACCGGGGATCGAACCCGTGTCCCCTGCATTATACAGTGGATTAATCACTGGGCCACCAGGGAAGTCCCCAACCACATAGAGATCTTGATTATAGCCTGATGCCACCACTTAAAGGAAGACCTTTAGCAACCTTGGTAAGGGGTAGTACGTAAACAGTGGAAACTTTCTCTACAATATCTGTCATTCACTACGGATATTTACACTTCAGTTAACTGTGATTTTGCTCTACATGGTTTATTTTACAGGGTGAATTTAGTTTTTCACAAGTAATTAAAACCTTTCCTTATACAGTAAAAAAAAAAAAAAAAAAAGTCCTGCCTGCCCAACAGAAGCATTCCCATGGACTAAAGAAAGATTTCCTTATCTCTGAAGGTCAGGCTGACTGCACTCCAACTCCCCCAACCCAAGCAACTGGGAGTGATGCCTCCCTCCTGAAAATGGCAAGGTCACCACCCACAGAGAGACCGGAAGTGGACAAAATGGGGCTGAGATCCACCAGCCCTTCCCCCAGAAAGTCAAGCATTGATGAAAAATCCTAAGGGTTTCAACCACCAACCCTTTTGACTCCCATTTCAACCGTCTTTCTTGGGCTCAGCATGTCTTCACAATGTGAACTCACACTTATTAACATTTGCAAAGCCCCAGACACTGTGTCTCTCATATTTATGCACTTAATCCTCTTGGCAACAATGCACAAATACA